GCCTTGCAATTTTCTTGTGCATATTTTATGATATGCCTAGAGAAAAAATCCCAATCCCTGCACACAACATCAAGGCTTAACAAAAAGATCAACTTAATATTGCAGTGTGTCTTAACTTCAGTTTCCTGAACTAATTGCTTAAAATGTCAACCTTTATCTGATATTAATACCTTTGCACTCAAATATTTACAATTACTTTTTTAGTGCATAGAACTCTGAAGTGGGGGCCCTGAGAATTGGGGCCCTCTTTTCCAAACCCATATTCAAGGCAGAGCAAAGCAGCTTGGTAGGGTCTCCTTTTTACTAACCTTTAAGGAAAAGCATCCATCAGGCAAAAGCTCAACCTGATGCTAATGGCCAAAGGCAGTGTTCTAGGGAGTCTACCTTGGGCTTAAAAACCATACTTTTTTATTCTTGTGACTGCTTTCTGTACTTCTCAAACCCAAACCTTTTTTTTTTTTTTTTTAAGATTTTATTTGACAGAGACAGAGATAGCAAGAGCAGGAACACTAGCAGGGGGAGTGGGAGAGGAAGAAGCAGGCTTCCTGCCGAGCAGGGAGCCCGATGTGGGACTCGATCCCAGGACCCTGGGATCATGACCTGAGCCGAAGGCAGACGCTAAACGACTGAGCCACCCAGGCGCCCAAACCCAAACCTTTCAATTGGTGTACACAAGCATAGTTAAAATACTAAGTCTTCTCTTTTTTTTAGGAATGCAAAATGGTGCGGCTGCTATGCAGTGTTTTTTTTTAAGTTTTATTTTGTTATGTTAGTCACCCTACAGATCATTAATCTTTGATGTAGTGCTCCATGATTCATTGTTTGCATATAACACCCAGTGCTCATTACAACACGTGCCCTCCTTAATACCCATCACCCTGTTACCCCATACCCCCACCTCCTCCCTTCTGTAACCCTGTTTGTTTCTCAGAGTCCATAGTCTCTCATGGTTCGTCTCTCCCTATTTCCCCCCCTTCATTTTTCCCTTCCTACTTTTTTTAAAACATATAATGTATTATTTGTTTCAGGGGTACAGCTCTGTGATTCATTAGTCTTACACAATTCACAGCGCTCACCACAGCACACACCCTCCCCAATGTCCATCACCCAGCCACCCCATCGCTCCCACCCCCCTCCACTCCAGCAACCCTCAGTTTGTTTCCTGAGATAGAGTCTCTTACTTTTTGTCTCCCTCTCTGGTTTCATTTTGTTTCATTTTTTCCCTCCCTTCCCATATGATCCTCTGCCTTGTTTCTCAAATTCCTCGTATCAGTGAGATCATATGATACTAAGTCTTCTCTTTTAAAAAGGGAAAGTTATTTGCAGAGTCCTTTCCAGTCTTTTTCCTCTTCTAGGTGGGGAGGAACTGAGGATAGAGAGGAGGCAGGACAGGAAATGTTCTGCCAAAGAGAGTAATCATTTCGACTCCCCCTGCCCAGAACGCATCTTACAGCTGCACACAACACAAAATGAGATACTCAGAACAGGTACAAAGCATTATTTGTTTTTGTCACTGCCATAGTGCAGATGATTTAAACAAAAGTAACTATAATGTAATAGCTTCTTTCTCCCTAACTTCAGTGTTCAACAATGCAGAGCAAGATGCTTTAGGAGGCTTTTAAAATGTTAAGTTTAATGCGAAGAATTGGTGTGAATTTATGCAACAACTGTCTTATTGACAACCCCCATGCAGTTTTCTAGTCTATAGCTAAGGTTCCTTTTAATTTGGCCTTTAAGAAGTAGTCAAGCTTTTAATAGGTCAAGGAATTTGAGCTGGCAGAAAAAAAGGGACCCTACAAATACCCAGGTACTGTGGATACTGGTCAATTAGTCCAAGATTAGATTACATCTTAAATACTGAGCTAAAATCAATCCTTGAGCTTCTGGTTCACTTTTGTTGGGTACCCTCCCGGATGACTCTAAAATTAGCACGGTTCCACACTCAACTGTACAGTGGTCAAAGTTTATGGGTGCAGAAAACCCATGGAGACCACTAAAACATCGTCCCATCAACAAGGAGCGGTGCCCAGGATCTTCCTCCTCTGTAACACATGGAGACAGTTGTCACATTATTCTTGCAACTAAGAAGAGGTTGGAGAAGACACCAGAGGCAAACCTCAGGACGTCCTAGGGGAATGTGGCCATGAAGAGAGCAATGAGATTCAAGCGTACAAGTTCATGAAGAAGGTACACAAGAATCCTATCGTCTACTCCTCAGCCCCTATCCTCAAAGGCAAGTACGAAAGCAAGGAAAGGTCAGTGTAATACAGAGGTACCTTACATATAGGTCTGTCTAGCATTCCTAATCCTGCAAAAGCCACCTTAAGTCTTCCAGGAAACAAAACCGTCCGCTTGAGGGGAAAAAACCCTCAAATACAGCTGTAGCTGTAATTTACTCTGGTTTCTAGAAAGTTTTTGTTTTCCTTACGTATTTAAAATCATACCAAAAAAGAGGTTTTTTGGTCAAATATTAGAACAACACTGAACTGAACCTCACCTAACAACTAGCGTGAAGTTGTCAATCCATCTTGCATTAGCAAAAATGAAAATATGAACAAAAATAAGAAAATGAAACGAGAGAAAAATAGGTAAAACCAAGACAAAATTCAGATTTACTTTCAAAAATCTGATTTTATTTTCTGAATCAAAAAGAAGTGTATTCACGTTAAATGTAGAATGTTTAACTTTCCATTGATCTCTCAAAACACTTTCCAGATATTGTTAACAGTGCTTAGAACTGTGTAAAAAGTCAACATCCAATACCATGTTTTAAAGAAAAAAAGTTTAAATGTAGGACTTATTTCTAAGAAACCCTTCTTAAATGTCAAGGCATTGGCAATTCTAATTTAAAAAGACTTAATCATTATTGGAAATTTAAGTGACAATGGTTTTCAAGAGCTCAAAATCAGATCTCTTTTAAAACAGAAAAAATTTTAATTTCTGAGGGACTCCTACCTGGCAACTTCAATTAAACATTTTATTTCCACTACCCCCCAAATTACTATATGCATTATTTTACCTTGGAATAGGAAAATTAGAAAATGGAATTTTAAAATTACACTATATATTTATATATATATATATATATATATATATATATATAAATACACCATTTTAACTGTGATGTTTGCTAGCAGAAGGATGAAATGAAAACCAAATTCTATATTCAAGGGACAAATGATAAATGCTCTTTCATTGTTCTAAGAGTCCATTCTATTCCTTGTTGTTTTCTACCCCCGTAGATTAAAATCATGACCAAAGGCCAAGGTTAATCCATATACTGGAAATGAACAGCTGATAAGAACTGGTCCTACATTTGTGTCCTTTAACTAGTCCAGGACTCAAAGGCTAGGGGGATTTATAAGAACATGATTTAGGAATACTTTAGAATTCCAAAATGACTGACACCCATGTCCCTCAAACCTAGTACATGTTATTCATAGGCTATTCATGTGTACTGAAGCATGTCCAGCATGCAGGCAAACTTCTTTCACTTGTTTCAAATTGAGGTAAAACAGACAAAAAATACTTAATATTAACAGAAGCTGCATAATTAAAACTAACCTCCTTTTGCTGCTCATTTCATATAAATTGATTTTTAAGTTTTCTCACAAAAAAGAGACTCTTTCTAAAGCCAATAATTTCTCCAATTTCAGTCACCTAAAAATTAAGCTTCTTCGTTCAAAGCCATTATTAGTAAAGAATATTTTGAAATGAAGGAAAACATTTTTTTCCCCCAGTATCTGCATTTTGTACTTAGCGTGATACAATTTATTACTTTATTTTTCAAATTTAGAAAGAATTCAAGTCTGAGTACTATTTGATATTTTTTCAGACACAAAGCAATACCGGCGGGAATCATAAATACGATTTTCTGACAGATGGGAAAATCTGCTAACATTTACAAAATATCAACAACTCTTCTTTCAAGCATAAGATGACTGAGACTTATTAGTTATGATTACTTTTTCAGTACAAATACAAATTTAAATCTTGATTTTTTTTTTTTTTGGCCAACATTTTAAGTAGTCAAATTTTACTCCACTTCCAGGTCTCAAATTAAAATAATAAAAAAGAAACTAATGAAAATTACCCAACTGGCAACAAGTCCCGTATTTCAATGTTATTTTTAATCCAACAATTATAACCTACTGCCAGTAATTATTCGTATGTATCTACCTATTCTTATTAAAGAAGCACTGGTCAGTTATATAAAAGAATAACTGCAAGAATGGTAGTTGGCACTGGATTACCTTAATGCTTCTGGTATAAAAACAAGCACTCTTAAGCACTTTTTTCATCTGTAATTTGAATTTCCAAAAGCATTTTTAAGTTGTTAATTTTCCACTGATTCTAGGGAGTTTACTCCCAGCTAACATGGTTGATTTAAAAACAAAACAAATAAATCCCTAAGCCACATGGTAATGGAATATTACACTTGCTTTTTATATCACGGAAACAGTTCCAGGCAGACCAAAAGTAGAAGAAAACCTGCCAAATCAAAGTACTGTAAATAAATTTCATCTTACATACCTCCGAGCAGAAAAGCTCAAAAATCAAAAAGTTAAAATCAAAAGGCCACTCCCCACCCCCACACAAAAACCCACCCAAAACACTTTAATTCTGAGCCTAACGTTTCCCTAAACTGTTAATTCCAGAAGCTTTAAGGTACTTCAACTGTGCAGTAACTGTTGAAAGCACCACACCACAGAGGAAATGCTGTAAAGGGGTCAGCAGCTGCCCGCCCGTCCCTCACCACCCCCACCCCAGTAATATGTAAAAGCTCCAGTAAAGGTTTTCTTATGCTAATAAAGGCGTACCACCTAGTGTGCTAAAGACTACAACAGGCAGCGTTAGAGCAGTAAAGTGAAAAGAGGAAGCCGAGGGGAGTGATCTAAATGCCTACTTAGAAGAAACAAAGCAGCAGACAGGACCCTTTGCCCTCTCTCTCATCATGTTTGTAGGGAAGTGGTTGAATTAAACAGATTTACCCACATTAACAAAAATTTAACAAAGCTTCCCCAAGACACCAGCAGAAAACCTGACCTTTCCAGTCAAAGGGCACAGAGAGGACTCTTCCATGTCCTGGAGTTGAATGAGTTCAAAGATTGGCAATAAAGGAAAAAAGAAAGCATTAGGGGTGTGATGCGAACAAGCTCTGGAGTTAGTTTATCGAACAGTCACACCAAGTTTCTCCAGCACACGAACACCCTTTTCTTGGTATTCTTGTCGGGTCATCCAGAAGTTGTCTTTGTCTTTCATGATATCTGCTAGAACTGCACCACCCAGGAACACCATATGCTTTCTGCGTGGTGGGTCTTCGATGCGGATCTTAAATTTCTAAAGGAGAAAGACGAGATTGTAAAATGTCACAAGTGCATCATCATGCTTTCTGCTTTATGGAAATGACTTTTTCATGTATTCTCCTGTTGAATTCTCACAAGTCCTGTGAAGTAAGTAGGATGGCATGATTTGTTATCTGAAGTAGAGACATTTTTGGTAATTTGCCCAAAGCTCACAGTGAGATCAGACATCCATCCCAGTGTGCTTAGAACAGTCCTGATTTACAACTGTTGCCCCATCACTATTACCACCACCCCCGTCACTCTCAAAATTGTCTTGATTTGAACAATAAATTCCACGATAAACCTACTGAGAGCCCAAGTACCACAGTCCTGATTGTGGCAGGTTTTCCCACCTACTGGGGATGACCACATAAGCAAATCACTTAGCCAGATGTCAAGTCAAGAGTTTGGGTAAGAGGACCTCCATGGTTTCTTCAAGGTCTAATGCCTCTATGACTGCAGTCCCATGTAAGAGTAAGATTGAAATTCTTATAAGCAAAGCTCACTTTCTATTGTCTCAAATTCAAAAAATGAAATGTTCTCAAAATAAACAAGACCAAATATGGTCAAATAAACCATGGGGATGCTGGAAAAAATGAACGCAGTTACCAAAATTAAAGACAAGTGGGGTAAGTTTTATATTCTGTCGCCACTATTGATTATCTAATAAAAGACACACCTCAATCCTTGTGAACAGTCCATGCCTGAAAGAAAAACCTTAAAATGTCATTGTTTAATTTACTGTGACACACCCTGCAAAAAGACTCAAAGTAACTATGTCATTTTAGATTGTCTTCACGTCACATAACCGAACTGTAGGATCAGATAACAAACACCAGTTGACTTACTTAAAAAAATGGGCCCGGCTTTGTTGCAATCGAACTTTATTTATAAAACAGCCAGTACGATACCAGCCTGGGGTCTGGCCTCCCGGGCTCCAAGGGAGGCCCGGCTAGCCCCTCAAGACACTGCCGCCCCTGCAGCTGTCCGCTGTCACGCTCACTCTGGCCCATTCGGTAACACCGACTCCTCTTCTCCCCTGCGGCTCTTCCTCCCTGCTCCCGACAACTCCCAAGTGAAACTCATCCTGTCAGACCATTCCACTCACCACCCCTCTTGCCACGTCACCTACAGGAGCCCCAGATGATTTCTTCCCACGCCTGCTCCTACTGAGCCCGTGTGGGCTCTCCCCATTGCTTCCTGGTGGTACCTAAGTGACGTCGTCCTTCTCTCCCCCTCACACTCATGTGGCACAACACTGACTCGCATGACCAACTCTCTACTTTGCGGCTGCCCTCAAGCAACTGAACAAGACAGGTGAGCAACTCCACGTCTTGGCTTAACTGCATCACGTCCTTCACTTGAGCCCCTTAGTGCAGCCCAGCAAGCCCATGACACGCTGTCTTCTCTCTTCTACTCTTCAAGACCACCATTGCATACCTCCACCATTGCATAAACCTCCACCATCTCCTCCCTCCCTCCGAGCTTGCTACCTCATCCTTCCACAACCTTTCTTCCTCCCTCCCCCACACCAGACTTAGTGATCCATTAAAAAGTCAGATCCTATCACTTCGCTGCTCAAAACCCTCCCAGAGCTTTCTATTTCACTAGGAGTAAAGCTAAACCCTTCGCAGTGGCTGAAGACCTGCATCCGACCACCTTTCTGACCTCAACGCTCAGGCCTCTCTTTTACTCGCTCTGCTCCAGCCACACCTGCACGCTGACAACCCAGGGTTTTTTTTTGTTTTCTTTTCTTTTTTTAAGATTTATTTATTTGACAGAGAGACAGAGGGATAGAGCACACGCTCACAAGCAGAGGGAGAAGCAGGCAGAGGCAGAGGGAGAAGCAGACCCTCCGCTGAGCTGGGAGCCCGATGTGGGACTTGATCCCCAGACCCTGGGATCATGACCTGAGCCGAAGGCAGATGCTTAACTGACTGAGCTACCCAGGTGCCCCAACCCAAGGCTTTTGTATTTGCCATTCCTGCCTGGAAGATTCTCCCCACAGATGGTTACGTGGCTCACTCTATTCAGGTCTTTGCTCAGAATTCATCTCCTCAGAGTCCTTCCACGACCACACTACATGAAGGAGCATGCCATCTCCCCAATCACTACCACTTTCTAGCCCCTCACCTTACCTTACTTTTCTTCAGAGTGCTTATTACTACTGACACACAGACTAAAAGTGGGGACTTGGTTTTTATTTACTACTGTTTTGTTTGTTCCAGCACCTAGACAAGTATTTGGCACCTAGAAGCAGGTCAAGAAATATTTGCTAAATAAGGAAATAATCACCTGAGACTAACTTTAAATTCTATGTATAAAAATCAGACAAATAAGCAAAGTACTTAGACAACATGGCTCCTTTTGAGTCTTTTAATTTTTTTTTTTAAAAGATTTTATTTATTTATTTGACAGAGAGAGACACAGCGAGAGAGGGAACACAAGCAGGGGGAGCGGGAGAGGGAGAAGCCGGCTTCCCGCGGAGCAGGGAGCCCGATGTGGGGCTTGATCCCAGGACCCCGGGATCATGACCTGAGCCGAAGGCAGACGCTTAACGACTGAGCCACCCAGGCGCCCCGAGTCTTTTAATTTATTTAATGTATGTGAGTCCGTATTTGATTTAATTTTCACAATTTAGTCACAGATGAAAGATGTGACATTAGTATCTCTGATATACAGATAGTCCTCTGTAATACGTAATCTCATTATCTACAACAGCCAATCAAAGTTGTTGGGACAAAGCTCAGAGATTAACTCAGAATTAAATGACTCCTGGCTGAGTGCACGGTATATATAGTGTACTTCACACACATATAGTGTTGGTTGAAAAAAAAAATCAATGCCAAATAACCATCAACTATTACATACTAGTTTATAAATTACTTTCTATTCTACACATTGACAACTACCAATTAAAGTTTATTTCAAGAGCTAGGATAGCTGATGAGGATGCAATGTATTTGATACATTAGGTTTTACAATCTGATTAGGAAAATAAGACATACGCAAGAAATAGTCAGAAAAATAACCTAGAATCAGAAATATGAGACAGTCCAAGAGTGGCAATGAAGGCTGGTTACATATCCAAAAAGTAAGCTAAAAAGAACCCAAAAACCCCAGAGGCATTTCTCTCTCTATAGTACAGTAGTCCCCCCTTATCTGTGGTTTTGCTTTTTGTGGTTTCAGTTACCCGTGGTCTGGAAGCAGATGATCCTCATTCTGACATCACTACATCATAAGACCTACTTAACTCACGTCACTTCATCTCATCACCTAGGTATTTCATCCTCACATCATCATAAGAGTGAGTACAGTACAATAAGACATTTTAAGAGAGACCACATTCATATAACTTTTATTCCAGTATATTGTTCTAACTGTCCTATTTTATTGTTGTTGTTGTTAATCTCTTACTGTGCCTAATTTATGAATTAAACTTTATCATAGGTGTTCCTGTATAGGAAAAAACATGGTATACATGGGATTCAGTATTATCTGCGGTGTAGGCATCCACTGGGGGCCTTCGAACGTATCCCCCACAGAAAAGGGTGGTGGGGAGGGAATACTATATGGCAGGTTCTTCCCATGCCCTTAGAGGCATCTCGACTCCAGGATGTCTGTTACAGAGGAACCAGAACATTTGGCCCTGGACCTCGTTGCCTCCAGCCACTGGATACAGAGGTGACCAGGCAGTACAACCATTTTGAAACAGAGCTTACCTCGAACCATTTACCTCTTCCCATCTTTTCAAGGCTGCATGTAACTTCATTAATAATTTGTTTAGGAAGACTTCTTGCTCCCTCTGGTGGTTGTCAAGATTCACAAGCTACTTTACAGGGTTTTAAAAGCATGTTAACAGTTGCATTATTGGTACTTACAGAAAGTTTTTCCACATCTCCCTTTAAAACTCGTTCTAAGTAAAGCTGTTTAAGTTCTCGTTCCAACCGTGATGGCAACCCAGGGTACATAGTAGACCCTCCAGAAAGCACGATGTGCTTATAGAATTCAGATCTAGAAGGACACAAAAGGTATTCATTTGGGGTTGCAGATGAGAAAAACAGTCTTACAGAGTTCCTTTTATATCTAGCAGCCTCAAGGGATTGCTGGGAGATTTAAATAAAATCCAACATGGAAATTGTAGGGCTGAATGTTTGTTACTAATGCTGTTATTAGATAACAAACCCTCTCTACGTGCAAAATACTTAAAATTTTAATGAGAATACTTCTAAAGCACATGACACACTTTCTTGCAAATATTGAGACTTTCTAAAAAATGATTTTATATTTTTTTATTGAGAGAGAGAGAGAGAGCAAGCGGGGGGCGGGAGCAGAAGGAGAGGGACAAGTAGACTCTGCACTGAGCTCGGAGCCTGACGTGGGGCTTATTCTCATGACCCTGAGATCACTACCTGAGCCGAAATCAGAGGAGTCAGACACCCAACTGACTGAGCCACCCAGGCGCCCCTGTAATTGAACATTTATAAATGACCAGAGTTTACATTACAAACTTCCACTATTTGGACTGTGTCATCACAGTGCTTTCCCAGAGTTTACTACAATTAACCATTTTCTATTACGATTTCAGTTCTTGCTTTTCAATTTTTCCATTTGCCTTTTGTAGTTTTCCCTTTTGTTCCTTTGCCTTGGGACTAGCTGCTATTATTTTACATGACATTGACGTGTTTCCTCGTTACAGCAGTCCTCTCTTTCTTCCTCAAATATGCTACCGGTTATGATACCAGATAATCAAATCTAAAATAACTGCATATGTAGTAAAAGTAATATAACTAAGTGAGGGTCTGAGGAACTCTTCTCCTAGTAAAGTTCAGAAGCTGAGTCACATCTGTTTTGGCTTCATTCAAACTGGTTTCCAATGGCTCAGGCTATTATAATCCCAGCTCATAGAAGAGTGGAGTTTTTATATCTACTCGCAGAAGTATGCACATGAGTGTAGCATATGCAGCTGAGACATGGCTACATGTGGTATGTACCCACTAGCATCTACATGTACGCTTCCAACATGCAGAACACACAAAGGGTGAGTTGTGTGACTTCCCGATGCCAGCTCTGTCGTAAGGGTACTGAACCGGACTCCAGTGCTTCAGGAATGCCAAAACTTGAATCACCACCAATAGGCATACACTTTTAAATGCAATGTTACTATTAATGATCATTAAGTCAAGGGACAAAAGCATCTACCCAATCCCTACTATGAGAATTTACTCGTACTTTGAGAAGTTTAGATTCTTGATCATCTTACATTAAGTTTATAGCTTGTTATAAGCCAACTGCTATTTTTATTACTTTCCATTATTATCCTGCTCCTCAGCCATCCCACAAAAATTAGTTTGGTGGTTATTCAATTCAGGGTTAAACAGACAAGTAAGCAAACACTTGCTTTTTACAAAATGCTTCTGAGTAAATTCTTCCATAACCTGAGTGTACAGGAGGGCTTTTCAACTATGACTCAAACTCTAGATGCAATAAAAGGTATAAACTTATTTAATAACTAAGTAAACACAAATTTTTGTATAGTCAAAGAACGCCATAAGCAAGAGACAAATGGATAATCAGGAGAACTATCTGCAGTAGATTATCACAGAGCTATAATATAAAAAGAACTTTTAAAAAACTTGAGGGGGAAAATTACAAAAATTCTATAGAAGAAGCAAAAGCCACGAACAGATAATTCACCAGAAAAAGAAAAACAGCCCTAAACATAGAAAAAAATGTTCAACTTCACTCTTAAGTAAAATACAAATTAAAACTACATTGAGATAATCATTTCACTCACCAGACTGGCATAAAAGTTAAAAAGTTGCCAAACTGTGACCAAGCTGTGGGGACATAGGTGCCCTCATCTATTACTGGTGGGAAGGAGAAGGGTCCCAACCTCCAGAGGGGAACTGAGCAGTAACAAAACTACATGCATTTATATACCCTTTGACCCAACAATTCCCTCTAGAAATTTTTTCAAAATATACATGCCCAAGAGTACAAAAATATAGTGTGCACAAGGTTATTAATTGCAACATTATTTGTCTGCAAAAATATTGGAATCTACCTAAATAACCAAGATTCACCTAATAAACCATGATATGTATACACGGGAAAAAAGGAGGACAATCCCTAGGAAGTGGTACAGGATTGTTCAGGATAATATTAAGTGAAAGAAGTGCAAAAAAGCATTTATACTAAGCTACCTTTTGTGTAAGAACAAGTAAGAAATACAGAAAGGATAAACCTGAAACTAATGAGATCATTTACCTACAAGGGGGAGGAGGACTAGGGTGGAGAACAAGGGGCTGGGAGAGTAATACTTCAAAGTATGCTTTTTATGTAGTTTTGAGTAGATGGTAATGTTTTACCTACAAAATTAAAGATAAGCCAGGACTATCCTGTGCCACAAAACAGAATGTGCCCAAAGAGATAACAGCATGTCAAAGGACACAGAGGTGTGTTTGAAGGGGCTCCCCTGGCCAAATCAGGAACAATTTGAGCATCAAAATAAATAAAGACAGTAATAAATTATAATCACTGGACAAAATCATGAGTCCACACTGATAACAAACAAAACAAGGAAGAGCACTTCCTTATGCTGGAATGCCAATTAATAACTATAGAAGGAATGACAGAATTAGAAAATCACCTTTTTGCAACCAAATAAAAATGGACTTAGGCAAGAATCATCAACAGATACTAAAAGGGGTGGAAGGCAGAGTTTAATGAGGAACAGGGGGTCAACACAGTCTCAAAGTATTTTCCCACAAATCACTTATAAACTAAGAAAGGAAAAATACAAAACCAAACAGGAAACTTCATTAAGAGCTTAATCCTAACATCACCAACAAGAAACAAACAGATCTCATCTCTGGATGGGACACCATGAGAAGGACACATCACTTAAGTAGTATTCCAGCCCCAAATGCATAACCTGAATCTAATCATGAGAAAATTATTCAAACTCAAGTTGAGAAAAATTCTCTAAGATAACTGGCTTGTTCTCTAAAAAGATGTTGCTGTCATGAAAGACTAAAGAATTGTTAACAGATAAAAGCTAAGAGACATGACAACTACATACGCTGTGTGATCTCAGACTTGATAATCTCCTGGGGAAAAGAAAAACAGTATAAAGGACAGTATTGGGACAGTAGATGAAACTGAAAAATGGATGGCAGATAACAGCAGATCAGTAATCAATCTCCTGAGCTCAATAATCGCACTGTGGCTATATAAGAGAATACCTCTGTTCTCAGGAAATACAAAGCAAATATTGAGTAAAAGAGGACTTATGTGTTCACCATACTCTCAAATGGCTCAAGAAAAGAGAAAGGGAGAATGATAGAATAAACTCGCAAAACGTTAAACTTAGTAGAATGCAAAACTGAGTAAAGAGTATACGTGAGTTCTCTGTATTATTGAAATTTTTAAGTTTTGAATTATTAAAAAAAAATTTAAGGTGGTTTCTGAGACACAATGATATATATTCAACATCCAGTGCCACCCTCAAAAAATTCGTTTGCCTTATCTGCTCAAAACCATGAGTGAGGTAATAGACAACTTGGTCATTTTAATTATACATACTCCATCTATTGTTAAATAACTTTGAAACCATCATTTACGATGTACCTGGTATCAATGTCCGCTGCCTGGATTGTGTTAAAAAGCAATTCAGCAACACCTACTCCCTCAACATTGATCAAATGAGGCTGAAATAAAGCTTCTGGTGCTTCAAATCTCTCTCCCCCAACTTTGATAATGCGGCCATCCGGGAGCTAGGGACCAAGAGTAACCAGGTGTTAGTCAGCAAAACATTAAAAAAAATTCCCAGTGTTCTCCACAACACTGGGACTTTAAACACATCTGTTCAATAATCAAAATCATCATCAGCAACACGTTTCTCCTAAAATAAATTTTTGAAAAGGAAAAAAAAAGTAAAATAAAATACGTTTAGATAGTTGTTATTGTCATGCTGTTTTGTTTTTAAACGCAGAACATGCCATCATGCCATGCTCCAACACATCAGGAATTTCTTGGAAAAATCACCAATGCATGAGTGCGTGATGTTCCATCGCTATGTGCAGCTAAGCATAAAAAGGAAGCATTAATAAACCACTGCATTTGGATTACTGCTGGTGTCAATGCTGCTTCTCTATTTTAACACGTTTGTGATTTATTTTATGGATATTTTTACCATGTAGCATAGACACATTCAGTTAAAATTTTTAAATAATTTCTTTTACCAAATAATTACACTGTGAAACTTTGCTATTTTGCCATCAAAACACTTTATATCATGTGTAAAACTTCTGTCAAATCATTTAATCCAAAAAATGTTTTATGATCAAAAAAGTTTAAGAAACACTGATCTATCAAAAACTAATGATGTAATGTATGGTGATTAACATAACAATAACAAATTTTTTTAAAAAAGAAACATGGATCTAAATTACTTTTTTTTAAGACTACTTTTTATTAAGCAATTCTATTGTATCCTACTTACTAGACCCTATTAAAAAATTGTTTTAAAAATTTTAAGTAATCTCTATACCCAAAGTGGGGCTCGAACTCACAACCCATCACAAGACCAAGAGTCACATGCTCTACGGACTGAGCCAGCCAGGCTCCCCTCTAGACCCTATTGAATTTTAAATAATGGATAAATAAAATTTTAACTTAAGCAAGTTTTTTTTTTTTTTAAGACAGAGAGAAAGAGAGCCCATGCACACACACGTGGGGGAGGGGGGGTGGGTAGAGGGAGGGGGAGAGAATCTTGACCAAGGCTCCATGCCCAGCACGCAGCCCAACACAGGGCTTGATGTGTGGCTCAATCTCACGGCCATGAGATCATGACCCGAGCTGAAATCAAGAGTCGAATGCTTAACCTACTGAGCCACTTTTCTGCATGCAGAAAACTCTTAAGTTACATCATGTTTATATTTAATTAAATGAGAAATGTTAAGTAAAAACTCCCTCTACTTATTTTTTAATTTTAATTTTTTGAAGTAGGCTCTATGCCCAACATGGGGTTTGAACTCATGACCCCGAGATTAAGAGTTGGATGCTCCACCGACTGAGCCAGCTAGGCGCCCCCCAAAACACTCCCCCCCCCCTTTTTTTTTTTTTTACAGATTTCCTTTATTTGAGAGAAGGAGAGAGAGAGAGAGAGTGTGCATACGAGCGGGAGGGAGGGGCAGAGGGAGAAATGGACTCCCTGCTGAGCTGGGAGCCCAACTTGGGGCTTGATCCTAGGACCCTGAGATAATGACCTGAGCTGAAGGCAGATGCTTAACTGAGCCACCCAGATGCCCCACCCTCTCTTACAACCACCTCACAACTCATTGGACTGACCTAAATTATAAGCATGCTTGTGTATGCTGGCATTTGACCCATTTCCATAGGAGATACCAGAATTAGTTTTACATTAACATTTCTAACAGTACATTTATAATAATATGATTACTGTAATAGTATTTGGATTCCAAAAAGTGACTTTCCAGTATGACAAAGTACCACAAAGCAAGTTTTTTTTTTTAAACATTTACTCCATGTTTACAGATAGGAGCAAAGGCAAGCACATTTTTCAAATTGATACAATCTGTAAATTGTATCAAATTAAAAACAAACAAAAAACCCCCAAGGATACAGATTCAAACATTTACCCTTAAAAAAATAAAAACCCATCAGGTGAGTTTAAAACCACATGAAATCACCCAAAATATCTGGAAAAACTTTACACAGTACACAGTTATTGGCAAAACCTCTGTAGCTCATACTTCAGCCTCTCTGACGGTGTGGTTTCTTTCCACACTGGCTGCTGGTTAGCATGGGGCCACCCAGCCTAGGAGCTACCCACCTCTAGACCCTACCTGGTTATGACTGTAGGACTCTCATTTTTTTGTACCAAATCTCATCCTATCCTTTGTCGGCCCTTATCCCTCTTCATTTACTCATTAGTTTCATCAGTCTACTGTTTATTTGTTGTGCAGCTAACCCTATAACAACGTGGGTTTAAACTGCACAGGTCCACTGACACATGGATTTTTTTCAATAAATATAGTACAGTACTGTAAATGTATTTTCTCCTCCTTATGATTTTCTTAGTAACATTTTCTTTTCTTCCTACCTTTGTTGTAAGAATATGGTATATAATATATATAATACATATAACATACAAAATATCTGTCAGTCAACTGTTTATGTTACTGGCAAGGCAATGACAGTAGGCTATTAGTAGTTAAGTTTTGAGGGAGTCAAAAGTTATACACTGCATAGAGGGTCAGCGCCCCAAGGGTCATCTGTATATATTTTTGTAACCCACCTCAAATTCTTTGAGAAAGGAGGGGAGAAATTAAATAAAACATGTCTTATATTTCTAGTTCCCTCATCTTTTGTCTCATGCCATTTTCTTACAAATAAGTGAGGAAGATGAAAAACTACAAATCTAGAGGAACTATCAAAAAAGCTTCAGAAAAGAATCCCCAGGGCAAATCTGGAGATTAAGTTGCTTGTCAATTTTTTGGATCAGTACTGGTTAAAAATAAAACAATATAATTTATAAAAATTAACAATTTTTTTTTTTTTTTAAGATTTTATTTATTTGACAGACACAGCAAGAGAGGGAACACAAGCAGGGGGAGGGGGACAGGGAGAAGCAGGCTTCCCGCTGAGCAGGGAGCCTGATGTGGAGCTCAATCCCAGGACCCTGGGATCATGACCTGAGTTGAAGGCAGACGCTTAATGACTATCCAGGTGCCCCAATAATTATTTTTAAAATGACTAATTCAGGGGCACCTGGGTGGCTCAGTCGTTAGGCGTCTGTCTTCGGCTCAGGTCATGATCCCAGGGTCCTGGGATCGAGCCCCGCATCGGGCTCCCTGCTCCGCAGGAAGCCTGCTTCTCCTTCTCCCACTCCCCCTGCTTGTGTTCCCTCTCTCGCGCTCTCTCTCTCTGTCAAATAAATAAATAAAATCTTAAAAAAAAAAAAAATGACTAATTCATACATATTTGTGATATGTAGAGCTTACATGAATCAAATGGTTTAAGAATACTTGCTTTTATTGCCAATACTTGCTTTTATTGCCTATTACTTGATTTCATTTTAATAATAACTAGATCAAAGATGAGATATGGAATACTTCATACCAAGATGAATATAATAGACTTCAGATAACAGTACGTTAAAAATTCAGGTAGAATCAACTCTCCTGGTGTAACCTATAACTCGTTTCACTTTCAAGTTAACATTTGTTTTCAACATCTCATTAAGAAAATACAAAGTCAAGAAAAGACTGCCACCTACTGAATTATTAGAGCAATAATACAGGATGAGCACTTCCAAAGTATGCTTTGCAGAACATGAGTCTCATGAAATGCTGGAACCCTGTAGTCTAATAAGGTTGAGAAACAGGCGGTTTACCATATTTCCACAGGCATACACATATTAGCACATCAAAGGTTCTGAGAAGTTCTTCAGTAAAGTGAAACTGACTCCCAAACTTTTTTTTTTTTTAAAGATTTTATTTATTTGAGAGAGAGAGAATGAGAGAGAGCACATGAGAGGCGGGAGGGCCAGAGGGAGAAGCAGACTCCCTGCCAAGCAGGGAGCCCGATGCGGGACTCGATCCAGGGACTCCAGGATCATGACCCGAGCTGAAGGCAGTCGCTTAACCAACTGAGCCACCCAGGCGCCCCCTGACTCCCAAACTTACTGGACAATGTAAACTCCACTTTAATTTTTGTGAAATTACTTAATAACATCTCAGGGAAATAATATTCTATAAAACGCATGTTGAAAAACGCTATTTCAGATATGAGAATCTCAAAATAACATCTCTTATCTAATTATATCCTAAGGTAGAAAAGCAATTTGTGATTCTTGCCTTTATTTCACATTATATGGTGTCCTAAAATAACTAAACCAAAGAATCTTATTGTAGAAAGACATTTAAGGTCACACATATACATACTCTAACAACTCAAAACAAAAATACTGATTCTAAGAAAACCTACTTAAGCACACACCAATAATCATAGTGCACGATTTTAAAACCCCCTATGTATTAAGTACTGGAAATACTTACTGTGTAAGATTCAACCAATACTGTGGTTTCTAAGGCCAGCTTCTGCTCTTGCTCAATATTATACCCCACATAACACAATTTTTCTTTAATCATGCGAACTGTTTCAAAGTCAGCAGAATGGTTGAAGGCATATCCTCGCAATAGCAGCAGCTGGTACAAAAAACAGCAGTAAAGTCACAATCTGAATGAGTTCAACTGTGGCAAGCTATCAGTGCTCACTAAATAGCTAATGTCAGTAACAAATGCAATGGACAGTGGATCCTTAGGTCTTACTGAGTATTTCAGAAATGGGAACAGTACTTTCCATAAGAGGATTTATAGTTCAGTTTCACAGAGAGTGAAAGAATTAACTGTTCATGAATAATAAATGGGTAAAAAACAAGCTAAAAAAAAAAAAGAAAATCAAGCTAGTTTTAAAAAAATTACTGTTTGAGTGGCACCTGGGTGGCTCAGTCGTTAAGCGTCTGCCTTCGGCTCAGGTCATGATCCCAAGGTCCTAGGATCAAGCCCCACATCAGGCTCCCTGCTCGGTGGGGAGCCTGCTTCTCCCTCTCCCACTCCCCCTGCTTGTGTTCCCTCTCTCACTGTGTCTCTCTCTGTCAAATAAATAAAAAATCTTAAAAAAAAAAATTTACTATTGGGAGTACTAATGTTTAGACAGTTTTGATAAATAATCAAAATAATCAAAATAAATATTTTGATAAATATTATTTTAGTACTAGACTCCTATAATCTGCCATTTGCTCAATCAATGCCATGTTCATGAAATATCCCTAGATCTTAGAAAATTTTATCCCAAACTTCTAGTATTATGTCTGACACACAGTAGATGGGCAAGAGAATTTGTCAATCAAATAAATGATGAGATTTCAAGCAGTTAACAGGAAAAAAAAAAAAAAAACCCATAATATGCATCACGAACAAGCTGGGACTTTTCATATAAAAACTTTAAAAATGAATCCCCTAATCCTTGTGAGAAAACCCTCGGACATTCCTCAGACAGAATTTTGGCCTGGAATGACAGTATTATAGTTCTCATTAATCTTAATCTCATTATTACTCTAAATGAGAAGAAAGGAACTCAATGTCAAGATAGAGACAGACAACCCCGTTTTACTGCACAGATACTACCCTAGAATAGTTTCTCAACAGTGGCACCAATGATACAGTGGACCTTAACAATTCTTTGTCGTGCGGGCTGCCTTGTTCACTGTAGGATATTTAGTAGCATTCCTGCATAGCTGGAACAACCAAAACATGTCTCCAGACATTGCAAAATGTCCCTGGCTGGTGGGGGGGCAGGCGGGGGGGGAGGGGCGGCAGCATCACCCCTGGTTGAGAACCAGTGACCTGGAGAGAATTGACTGACTAAACTATTTTTTTCAATATTAAAAAAATACACATGCCTCTAATTAACAGCCTTATATACTTTCTCCGGCAATGTTTTATTTTTATTTTTTTCATTTTTTTTCCAAGATTTTAATTATTTATTCATGAGAGATAGAGAGAGAGAGAGAGAGAGAGAGGCAGAGGGAGAAGCAGGCTTCCCACGGAGCAGGGAGCCCGATGCGGACCTCGATCCCAGGACCCTGGAATCATGACCTGAGCCGAAGGCAGACGCTTAACCATCTGAGCCACCCAGACGCCCTCTCCGGCAATGTTTTAAAGAAAATTATAACTAATTACAGTAAAGTTATAAAATTATAACTAATTAAACTTTAATATATAGTAAACACTAAAAACTGGATCTATTCCATGAAAACTACTAAATATTGAAGTCCGGTACAACTGGGCCCTGTTTGTTTGGCTTTTTTAGTAAAAGGCAAAAGATTTATACGATCTGAAGAGAAACCAGAGTATTGTTTGGTTTTTTTAAAGATTCATTTATTTGAGAGAGAGAGTGAGCATGAAGGGGGGGCTGGGGGGTGGGGAGTGGGGGCAGAGGGAGAGGGAGAAGCAGACTTCCCGCTGAGCAGCGAGCCTGACGTGGTGCTCCATCGCAGGACCCTGAGATTGACCTGAGCCCAAGGCAGACACTTAATCGACTGAGCCACCCACGCACCCCTCAAAAAAGTGTTTTATGGCAGAAAAGGCTGCCTCTATTATTCAAAAAGTTTTAAGGTCTCTTCTATCTCACTACCAAGTCCTCAGGAATAGCAAACATAATTATGTAATGATGTATTCTATTCTCATTACTATATTAGAGAGCATGTATAAAAATCTTACATGGACTTTTACATGAATAATGGGGTAATGGGACATTCCCCTAGTTGTGCAGAAGATCTGCTATGATCCTGAGAGGATATATTCAAATATGTTAAGTTAGTAAATACAAATTACAAAAGCTAACTTCTATGATACCTTCTTTTGCTTACCTTGATAAGATACCTGGTAATATCCCTTCCAGCAATATCCAGTCTCCTGGTAAGGTGAGGGAGAGAAAAGCCTTCATACACTGGACAAATGTGAGTTACACCATCTCCAGAGTCCACCACTACTCCAGTCAATAAACCTGTGTGAGAACCATGAGGTTTTAAATAAAAAACCAAATCAGAAAAATCAGAGCCAGCAAATTTCAAAAAATTCATACAGAAGCTAAACTAGAAACTTCACCACCCAGAATGGTCTAGAAGCCAGCATTTCTTTATTATTCATTATTTTGCAGTTCTAACATCTAGACACTAAAGTCAGTGTTCTCACACATGTCTCTTGTGAGACTTTTAGTCTAACTGTGTGCTATCCCAGGAGATGAGAAGAAACAGACTCTGAGACCTAGGACTGAAAGACACAACATGTTCTTAAAGCTCAGTACAATTCTTTATTTTTCTTTCCAATTTAATCTTGATCCCTGAATTCCCTTGAAGTAAAATTTTCTAAAGCATCATGGTAACTTTTAGGAAAATCATTGTGAGAGATAAAAACTACACAAGTTGATAGTGAACCTGTTGAAATAATGTACTTATTATTTTTGTCATATAATATATATTCAAAACTGGGTTTGGAAAAATTCCTATTGATACTAGATAGCTGGAAATTTGAGAACAATTAATCACGTCAATTATTCACCAGAAACCAGAAAGACAGTATCAGTTACACCTTATAATAAAAGAACAGCAAAGAAGCTGCCTTGTTTCCCATACATACTATTTAAAGTACAAATGACTGCAAAAGTTACCTTCTGCACTAGGGTTAATTAAAACAAAACTTTTTCGAACTCAAATTTTGTAACAGTTAATAGTCTAATAATGTTTTTTTATTATGTTAATCACCATACATTACACATCATTAGTTTTTGACGTAGTGTTCCATGATTCATTGTTTGCATGTAACACCCAGTGCTCCACGCAGAACCAGCCCTCTTTAACACCTGTCACCAGGCTAACCCATCCCCCCACCCCCCTCCCCTCTAGAACCCTGTTTGTTTTTCAGAGTCCATCATCTCTCATGGTTTGTCTCCCCCTCCTATTTCCACCCCCATTCTTCTCCTCCTTTTTTTTTTTAACATATAATGTATTATTTGTTCCAGAGGTACAGATCTGTGATTCAACAGTCTTACACAATTCACAGCGCTCACCATAGCACATACCCTCCCCAGTGTCTATCACCCAGCCACCCCATCTCTCCCAGCCCCCAAGTCTAATAATTTTTTAACCAAAAAAAATTTTTAACCTTATAGAATACGCAATGTCTGTAACTTTCTTAACCATTATTTTATCATTTTCACATCCCTGAATAGGCTCTCTCCCTTTCTTAATACAAATTTGAATGCACTACAGTATTTCATCATAATGATTTATCTGATACATTTATTCAATCTACCTCCTTTTGAAGCTGACATAATGTCTTTCCATGATTGATGGTGTATATAAATCTTCATAAAAAGCTTCATAAAAATCATTTACTGCCTTTTAATGCTGCATTCCTTTCAACAAGAAACATTTCATTGCAAAAAAAGAGGAATCCACATCATTAATTCAAAAACACTCCCAGTAATACCAACTGAAGCCGGGATCGACATTTTATTTTCCAAACAGACCTTCCCATCCAACTGCAGCTTATTTTCTCCCACTCCTACCAGGTTACAGACTAGCCTTTCCCTGTACACATTTGACCCATTTCTAGTGCCATACCATTTTGTCACTGGAGTATCCATTCTTTCCACTTCGATTCCTATGGATTCTTTAAGATTCAATCGAATTCATACCTTTCCATTTACACCTTTCCTGACAACTCTAACCTCCAGATTCCCTAATTCCAGTGATTCCCTTCAATCCCGTCTATGGCATGCAGGCAAACATAGCTTCCTAACTCACCGTTGTCACTTCTCCTATTCACAACCCTTCCATGGCTCCAAATGCTTCTTCCTACCTTTCTTTAACTAACTTCCTACCTAGCCCTAGCCACCTTGTTTAGAAGGAGAATTTTATGGTGGGTCAGAGTTCTTTTGATCTTTACTGGACTATCATTTCTCAAAATTAAAGATTCAACAGTTAAACAAAAAATGACTAAATATCGGGAATTAAAAGAGGGTATCTTCTCACTGGATGAAAATAAATGTATGAATACTGCCAGAAAAATCCATTAAGGTCAGTTTTATTCAAATACAATTTAAACAAAAATTCACTTCAACAGAACAGTCCATCCTCACCACCTAAACAAAATCATTATCACCAGTTTCAAAGCTTAGATTCAAAACTTTTAATATCTATTTTTTCCAAAGTATTTTCTAAAATAATTTCTAAAAATGAAATAAAATTACCTCGGTGCAGGTAAACACTCCTTGCAAAGTAACAAGTGATTTTTAATTCCTTCTTCAAAGGAAAATTATTCACAGCTGGAATGTAATCACTTTAAGGTCAAGAAGACCACGTCTAGCTTACTCACTGCCATATCCTCTGCACTAAACACAGTACAAGGTACATTCCACTCGGTGAATGAACAAAGCTTCTTTGAAAATTTAGTTCCCCCAGGTATTTCCTAAGTACCTAGACGTAGTACTGCAGACAATTTAATGAGTCAATGTATATTTTTACAAGGTGATTTTTACTAATCCATGTTTAGAATTAGATGGGTCACCACAGTATTAAAGTGAGTTTTCTAAGTACTATGTCATACACACAGCTAACTACTAAGGCTGAAGACTTAGCTCAGGTGTCACCTCCTTCAGAAACCTTCTCTGCCATGCTGGGTCAAAATTATCTGCTTCTGTATCTTTTTCCCGAATAGACTCTAAATTTTTTGAGGGAATCTTCACATTTCAAGTGCCTAACAGGCTGTGTGGCACATATCTGACAGCCCCATAAATTCTCTTAATAAGACAATCAGAACAGAAAGAGCTCTCCCCACACGGCCAATTTTTATTCTCAATAGAAAGGGAGGCAGTTACTAATGGCAGCACCAACAAAACATAAAAGTTAGGAAGGCACTTCCAAATGTCTACCTTCTCCTCTACTATGTATACAAGCGTGATTTTATACTAACCTTTTTGGACTTCTATGTATTTTTTTTAACTCTGCCAATTCTTTTAAAATTTTTTTAAAGATTTTATTTATTTGAGAGAGAGAGAGTGAGCGAGGGAGAGAGCACAAACAGGGCGAGCGGCAGGCAGAGGGAGAAGCAGACTCCCCGCTGAGCAGGGAGCCCGATGCAGGACTTGATCCCAGGACCCTGGGATCATGACCTAAGCCAAAGGCAGATGCTTAACCAACTGAGCCACCCAGGTGCCCCAACTCTGACAATTCTAAGGACAAATTCCATGTTCATTCTTCACTGCATAAAAAATTTTTACTTTAAAATAGTCTTAAGAGGGAACCTCCTACTTCTTAAAAATTGAGTTCTCTTTTTACCTTAAGTCCTTCATTGCTTAATGAAGGAAATAAAAATATATGTGATATTTTACAAATTTTAGAAATTATGAAAATATTTGAATAAATATTTGAAAATATTTAAATAAATATATAAATACTGTGCTTTTCTGGGATTTCCAACTATTGAAAACTCAAATAAAATGGACTTAATGTCTGCTGAATTGATTATTCTAAAAGTTAAGTTTCACCTACCTTGAGCATACAAAGTCAGAACTGCCTGGATAGCTACATACACGCCAGAAAACTGGTAAGTTTCAAACATTACCTGAAAATGCAAAAGGAAAGAAAGAAATGCTGGTATTTAGAAGTTACATAGTAAATATTTTTATGCTTTCTTGATGGTCACAGAGTAGATTAGTTGCCAAAATAGAATCAAAAGGGACCTAAAAGAGTCCTTCATTCTCCTCAGCTGTCACAGAGTTCTATTGTAGGGAAGAGATTTTTGGATATATAGAGTCCTCAAGTATTTTGTAAGTGCTACAAAGCAAAGATTTTTGAGTGTTTTAGTTAATGGCTAAAGTGGAAGAAAGATTTCTGCATTTGAACAAGCCTTTCTTAATGATGTCCCTTAATGAAAATCTTTTTTTTTTTTTAAAGATTTTATTTATTTATTTGAGACAAAGAGAATGAGAGAGACAGAGAGCACATGAGAGGGGGGAGGGTCAGAGGGAGAAGCAGGCTCCCTGCCGAGCAGGGAGCCCGATGCGGGACTCGATCCCAGGACTCCAGGATCATGACCTGAGCCGAAGGCAGTCGCTTAACCAACTGAGCCACCCAGGCGCCCTGAAAATATCTTTTAATTCAAGGACAAACTACAGAAATTGCTTAACTGCTGGCCCCTCTCCCCTAACCTGCACCAAGACTGGAGTTCTACCTCCAACAGTTAAAAAAAAAGAAAAAAGAAAGAAAGAAAGTAGTAAACCAGCAGGGCAGGAAGACAAAAATGTGTGCAGTAATTCCTGAATGCTGGCAGATAGAGAAACTGCCTAGCTGTTCTGCCCACCCTTCCAGCTTGAGCCCCAGCTGTGGCGCTGCTCTCAGCTCCCAGCTGAGCTACACTGAAGGGAGGCGTCTCCTTGTGCCCTCCCTATTCACAACCATGCTCATTCTCTGTAGTCCAGGTGGGCTGGGAACATCCTGTAGGACTTGTTCTGTCATCTACAGTGAGCACTCCTTGACTGGGAGGGCTGACTACCACTCTGTAAATCTAGACACCTAGAAATGTCATAACTGATCACAATGAGAATTACATAGGATTTAAATGTTATTACTCTGAAACACATATTCATCAATTAAGCAACTAGATATTCTACCCAGTATTCTATTCCATCATCCTTTATTTCCCCTCCACAGGGGAGAAAACAGAAGAGTGAAGCTGTATTTGCGTTTGTCATCTTGAAAGTCCATTAGAATTTGTTTTTATTTGTAAGATAATTAGAAAGTAACAGTAGTACTAAATCAACTTTCTGGATGAGATTAAAGTAGGGCATTATCAGTCACAGCCAAATTTGCACCCGCATGTAAAAAAGAGTATTAAAATAAGGTGGGACCGTATAGCACATGAGAACAATTCTTGTCATTCTAGCAGATTAAAAAAAAAAAAAAAATACATGTCCTAGTCAAATAGCTGGCTAGTGGAAGAGGCACCCAGGTATAATGTCATCTCCCTAACTTTTCATCTGAAAGGAAACTTGGTTTTCATTCTGACATTGTGTTGCTTTCCTAAAGAGGTTTCCACGTGTAGGAGGAACCTTTTGGTTTAATACAAAAGTACCTCTACTCTGATTTTACAATGCACTGCTAAAAATAAATACCATTACAAATGACTACTTACCCATCACAAAGTATTAGTAGTTATAAGTCATTTAGAAAGAACAAATTGCAACTAAAATATGAACTAATATAACAAGGGCCATGTTTCACAGCTCTAGGGCTGCTCTGGAGCAGGAAATAGTTAAGATATAAGCCATAAGGAATGACATGGATTTTGTAACTAAAACCAGGATCTTAAGTTTTTAAAACACTTAACATAAAACTTAAGTTTTAATCCAGAATTAAAAAATACTGTCTAGCAACAATCTTTTCTAAAATCCTTCCAAAATTTCCACCAACACCTAAATATGGTCATAGAGTAAAACAGAATTATTTACGTTAAGTAGTATCTGCAAAGCTACTAAGACAGAAAAAATTATTCTTTTACCTCATATACAACAAGAGACAAAGACATACAGTTCCTACCTCATATAAAACAAAATATAATGAACGAGAACCTTGAAAAGTTACTTATCTAAACTATGAAGAAGGCAGACTTCTTGCTCTCCGTACCTGCTTCCCTTAGAGCCCTTCAAGCTCCTCTCGCTAACTCCCACCTCCCTGGTCCTTGGCCTTCTCACCACTGCCTGCTCCCATTTTCCTGGTGAACTGATTATCTATATCCTGATGACTCCCAAGTTTGTATCTCCAGCCTCAGACTTTTCTCCTGAACTTGATCTTTTACAGGTTTCCCTGCTATCTGAAAAGTAGAGCATTCATATGGAAATCTTAGGTAAAGCTCAAATGTTGTAAATCAAAGAAGCAGTTACCATTAGTTTATATGGAAAACTCAGTGTTCCCAAACCCCAAAAATAACCTCTCTTAGGCTTTTCTTGGACACATCTTGCTAATGGATGCACAAAATAAAACGAGATAAAGCACCGATGCTCACACAGTTCAAAGCTATGGCGCCTTGATGCTGAGTGTAGTTCTGGGGTACGAGTTTGGCGGGGCCACTCTTGCTGGTCTGGGTGCACGCCGCCTCTAACATTAGCTCGCTGCAAAACAAATGCTGAATGCAATTTTCGCTTCCCCCCTTTATTCATACAGGTGAAAATCCTCTTCGGGCTTCTTTCAGTTAGTGAAAACAGGTACTAATGTAGGTCTTTGGTAAAAGTGAAGTGGCATAACATGAACTTTTGAAAAGTGAGGGACACCTCTATCTGCCTGACATTTTTGACTGGATGTCTAATGAGGGCCTACCATGTCCAAAACTGAACTCCTGATCCACTCCCCTCAAATCCTGTTCTACTTACCTCAGTCTTTTTCCATCTCAGTTGATGGTAATGTCATCCTCCAGGTACCCAAGCCACAACCTTTGGAGTCATCCCTGACTCTCCCCTCTGTTACCCATATTTAATGCATTACAAAATGCTTTGACCCTACCTTCAAAACAGATTCAGTCTGGCCACTTCTCTTTACTTCTGCTGCTATTACCCCTAATCCTAACCATCATCATCTTTTGCCTAGATAATTGAAAGTCTTCAAACTGGTCTCTCTTCCACCCTTGCCTCCTTATGGTCTACTCACAACACAGCGGCCACAGAAACCTAAACTGGAGCATGTCCCTAACACAGAAGGGACATTTCGCTCAGAGTAAAAAAAATAATTCTCTGTAAGCGCCTGCAAGGCCCTAGATCATCCTGTCCTATTATTTCCCTGACCTCATCCCCTGTTGCTCTCCCGTACTGGCTTCCTTGCTGACTCTCTAATACACCAGGCTTGTTCCCATTTTAAGACCTTCACACTGCCTAGCTACTTCCTTTGTCTGGAATGCTTTTCCCCCACATATCCTGGCTGAGTCCCTTATTCTTTAAATATCACCTTCTCTCAGAAGCCTACTCTCACACCCTATGAAAAATATAACCCCTTCACCCCCCTTAACCTGCTCTTTTCCCCTCTTTAGCATCTATTATCTTCTAACAAACCATTCAATTAACTCACTTTGTGGGTGGCAGGGGTGGGGTGGGGGTGGGGGTGGGGGGTGTGTGTCACCTGCCAGAAAAATAAGTTCCATGGCAGCAGGACTTGGTTTTGTTTACTGATATAGCCTATTTAGAAATAATGACTAGTTAGGTGCTCAGTAAACAGGATGGGGGGGGAACAATTATTTTCATTCCTTTTATCCTTAACAATGGTAAAAGAAAGAACATCTGCTATAATGTCTCATCACAGAAACACATACATACACATCCCATTTAAACACTTACCTCTACGATCTTCTCTCTGTTTTTGGTTGGGTTCATGGGAGGTTCTGTGAGTAAGATTTTACAATTTCTGGTATCTATGTTAAGTTTCTCTGGTCCAAATGTATAATCCCACAGGTGTTTCATGTCATCCCAATTTCGTACTATGCCATTTTCCATAGGGTAGTTAACTTCTAACATTGAGCGTAATTCACTTGCTTCATCACCGACCATAAGATCCTAGAAAATTATAATATCAAGGCTTTAGGCCAAATTTTTGCATAAAATATCTTCAGAAAATTACATTCTCATGATATTTTGGAAAACTTGGGAATAATTTAATTTTAATTTTTCTGGCACTTTCAGATAAAGTTCTTCATTCCACAAGTTTAAAAAATCTTTTCTTTCAAGAACAATGCCTTGGAAAGTTTAATCATGAATAATAAAAATTCTTATGTACAACGTGGGTTAAATCAATAAATGGACCTTACCTTTAATACAAATGTTTCCAAAAGAAGAGCATTAGCACAAATAAACCCCACATTTTCATATTTTGGAGGGTTTTGTATGAGGTTTCATCTGTTTCTTTTGCTCAAATGTTCAAAAAATAAGGCCTGTGATATGTGAAATAGCACATCAGGGAAAAAATCTTGTAGAAAAAGGCTCAATGCATGCAGCACAGTTCTTTGTACTAAATATTGAAATGGTAAGTGTAAATGATACGTCTTAATGTACTACAAAGCATAATGAAAGAAGTTAAAAATTAAATGATTCTTTATTATATTGTAATAATGCAGATATGCATCACATAACTTGCAAATTTCACAAATCTCTACCTGCACATGCCTCAGAATTGAAATTAAGTCTCTATATATGCCTCACCAAGATCAATGGAAATTTGTAGAGATATCAAAAATTAAAACACAGGGAAACAATTTTTAAAAATTAGCTCATGAGCAACATTTCCAACCTTAAAGTATAATACTGGAAAACTATGCTAGCACACAAGAAGCAGAGTACTCACAAGTCTTGTCTCCAAGGAGAGCATACTTAAGATGACCCACATTTGAAAAGTCAAATTTTGTATGTATAATAAGGCTAATGATGTCACAGAATTTAAGCTTATTTTAAAAGTCAGCTAGTCAAGATATTAAATAATCCTGATTTCTACATATACTGATAAATTCAACTTAAAAAAGCTATCAGAAATAGCTACTGTTTGCTATAATACCATAAATCTAAAACATGAGGAAATGAGAACATTAACATAAAATGTCTCAAAATAAGGTTTAAATATATATGAGTTTAAACTTTTAAAAATAACAATTTAAAAAAAGATCAGAGGTAAACCAGGGTGAGGGCTCAAAAAAAGATTTCTGGAAAATCCACTGAAAGCAACAACAAAAAGGAAAAACAAAGTTAAAGCAGATGCCAGAAACGTTCACGAAAACTTCTCTGTTGCAACTAATTTCTTATAAAGTTAATTTACCATAACTTAAATATTCAAATATTTCTTAAATATTAACTGTTTAAAATCATGATAGGAAAATGGAAAATTAAAAATCTGCATCTGTGAATTCTAGTCAATGACATGCATATGTTGAATTACTTTAGGAGAAGTACATTGATACTTTGAAATACATCAAAAAACGAGATAGACTAATGGAGGGATGAATAAATAAATATGTAATATGTTAGTAGAGTAAATATTAATGTCAGAATCCAGGTGATGGGTGTATGGGTTTCACTGTAAAATTCGTTCTTTGCTATACGTTCTAAACATTTAATAAAAAGTTAGGGGGGAATCTATACCTGTAAGAACATACATTACTTTTAACCATTAACAAATACAAAACACAATTTTGTTACTTACTTTCCTCTAGAATGTATCATTCTATGTGTTGTACAAAGTTAATAAATTAGATAATTAGATGGCTTATATAATCAATATACATTCACAACTATAGTTCATCAAATTTACAATAAGTCTGATCTGATTTCATCAGAATATTTACTTTTATTTCCATGCAAGAATAGGGACTTACATATGTCTGACCCAATACCAACTCAAAATAAAAGCCTCATCTATCTACTTCGAGAGCATTCATACTATAAAGAATAAACTGAAAGAAACATCTGGCACTGAATATTTTACAATCCCTCTGAACAAAGAGGAAGGACAGTTAAAATGGAAAACAGGTATTAACCTATGAAATTAGTGCAAATATTCTCAAGTAGCTTCAGCACCTAATTAAAAAATTTGTATCTAAAATTTTAATTTAAAAAATCATAAAACATATAATCGTCCCTAGAACATTTCAACTTCCCAAAACTACAAATGCCAAGAGCTTTATGTAACTTGCCCTCATACCTCAGAACCTTAGATTTTTACCACCCACCTCATCCCTGGACTTCAAGCCTGAACTACCACCTGGTACCTAATAGAATGAGAAATCACAGTAACTGTCTGAGATGCTCTTTCAAAGGCATTTATCTTTTATGAAAAGCAGGCAGTGTAGATATTTGCCAAGAATTATTCTGAACAATGTCACCTCAAATTGGAAAACAGAGTGAACATACTTTAAAACCACAATTAAATCCCTAAGAAGGAAATTCCATTTAAAAAGTTTGTTAATAAACCCTACACTGTTCTCTGAAAGTATACACTCAATCTCCTTAAGATTTTAAGACTAATGCATGATCTTTTATTTAGTATAAATATAGGAATTTCCAGATTTAAATGTTTTCATTTATCCAAAAGAAAACTCCACAAAGACACTGTTACTAGTTAAAATATAAATCACTAGAAATGCCTCATCTTTGTCAAAACTGCTTATAAATAGTATTAAAAACACACAAACCTGAAAATACCCACTATTGAAGCACTTAAGGACTGTCACAGAAAAATATAAAGAAGAGTGAATTGTCTGGGATGTGCCCCGTACTTTAGTTCAAAAGAAAAAGGGGCCACACAATGGTATTTATTTAGGGGGAAGATCTGCTGTTTATGGAAAAGTCTTATAAGACTTTCACATTTTTCTTATTTATCCTCAGATAATGTTGTAAAAATCTGCTCATCAATAAAAATGGTATAGGAAACAAGTCAATCTCTTTTCCTCTTTTTTTTCTATCTATAGTTATTGGCATATTAAAGTTTTACTCAGTTTATTACACATTTGCTACCCAACTGGATGCAAATACCTACAGACTATGATAGGTAATGTTCAATTTAACATTGATCAATAAAACTGATTTGTCCAAATGTAACAACTTCACCCCAATTCTCTGGATCACACATATTCTAAATAAAGCTACTTGGTTTCTAATATTATGCACACCACATTCCATTTTAATTATAACATTCATCTACAAGAAACACAAGGAAAACAATTCAAAACTGTGTTAGTAATTAGTTCTGGTCTGGTCCATTGTATGCAATCAGGAAAGTATAGGACTTAATTAGTTGCTACCAAATTGAAGCAATGAAAAAGGTTAAAAATCAAAGTACTTAAAATTAAAATATGGAATTGCCCCCCTCCCCAATACTACAGGGACACAAAACAACAACTACTGTTCCATCAAGCAAAAGTGGAAAACAAACAGAGAGCATGTGTGTAACCTCACTTACCATCTTTTTGTTATTCTACTTCAACAGGTCAAGAAAGGTGAAGAAAGAGAAGGTAGAAGTAAGAGTCAGAAAAGGCCTAAATAAAATCCTCACTGAAATTTTTAAACATACAAGCAATAGAGACAAATTAGGTAGAGGTCAGATGCAGTACTATATTTTACGGAGTTAATAATTAGGGCCAAATTAACATGGACAGTTATTACTCCTGAATGAAAATTAACTCATTAAACAATTTAAATTTCCAGTTTTTAGTCTATCACATTTCAGCTAACAAAACACAAAAGTATAAGTCAATCCACTAGGCATAGGAATTCCAAAAAGTCAAGTTTCTTTAATTCATTACTGAATTTAAGAACCTTAATTAAGGAAATTAAATAACAGAAAAGATCTAGCTGAGTAGGTAGAGGGTGAGTTTAGAGTGGTTTTTTTCTAAGCTCTAGTAGTCAAGTTAAATTTGACACAGATTTCTTTTACTATTTTCTACTGGAAGAACAAATTAACTAGAGAGACTTAAAAGATTGAGCAGATTGAACAGAACTGAGCCAACAGAACACAGAATGACAAACCATACAAGCAAATGCTACTGGGGAATTCCTTAGCAAAAATGTCTTAGGATATAGACTAGTTTCATTTCCATCACTTGGCCTTAAAAAGCAAGAAAGTGGGAGTGAAAAGATATGTAATCATTTGTGCCATGTTAGGGAATAAAATGGTTATATATGATGTATCTGTACACCTCAAAAATGTTATTATCCACAAAGTATATAAAAAAGAGACATTCTTTAAAAGCCTGATACTGACTAAAAAGTGTGACTGTCCTTATCACAAGTATCGGCTAAGTCGTTCATTTAAGATTAAATTCAATCAGAATGAAAGGCATTCACAAAAAGAGAATGAGGTATCCCCAAAATTTCCCAAAAGACCTTGAAAAAAAAATTATCATACCGAATGTCCCATTTGATTGTAAAACAAAACAGAGGTCAGAATCATTCACTACCTTAAGTCTTTAAAAATTTAACCCAGAACCTCAGTTTCAGTTGGCATTTGTATTCATTGTGTAACTCAATTCTCTAGTACCAAGAGCAGAGAGCTACCAAGTAGCAAGTATCTCCTAGCTATTACTACCTTCCTAGATATCTCAAACAAATATCCCAAAGAGGTACACTTAACTCGTATTTCAAATGACTCATAATCTAACTGAAGTTCTGCCAAAGACTATCCAGATAGGACCAACAATGCTAGCTTGTTCACAAATAATTCAATAAAAGGGCCCCTCAATTTGACTGCATTTTTAATAATCTGATCCCTAGGCCACCTTAAGAATTTAAGTCAACTGGTGACCACTGTCCTTTTGATTATTCTATTTTTTTCTTTTAAAATATTGTAATTCCCACTTGATTTCCAATTCCTTTAATACGGAGAAAAATCTGTCATCCTTAATGTCCAGTCTCTCATGTTAAGTACAGTGAGTAGGCAATGACAACCTTCTTCCTCTCTCCTTACAGTAAGATAAATAATGCAAGGCCAACTCAAGACTTGCACTGCTTCTTCCTGTACATTATGGAAATCAGTTACTATATTAGTGAAAAAAGGAACCAATAAGATTTATAGCCTGTGTTTTCCTGACTAGTTACATCAAAAGTAGGACGATCAGGGCATGAGAAGGAAGGAAAAGTCTTAGGTCCCAAATAGACACTAACGTATAATGAAAAATATATGGAACTGAAAGACATAAAAGTATCAGGCTTATTTCTTTTAAACATTATATGTAATAAGGGCTTTAAGTCTCTAATACAATATTCACATCAATATAAAAATATTAATAAGAGTTTTACTCCATTCAGAGAGCAATGGCATTTCAGTTTTTGTGTCTTCAAGTGTTGATATAAATTAAAAATATAAGATATTCTGCCTCTTTGCTCTTCATGGTATCAGATCTTAAAACTACTTAATTCAAAGAACACCCCACAAGTTTTGATCCTCATTTATCAATAAATAAAATATTACCTTGATTTCAATGTTTCCCACTTTGGTGGTTGATCTGATAATAGGTCTTCCAACCAAAGCTGGGAAGATGTGTTCTGGAAAGTTAGAGCCTGCATATCCACACTTCACAAACTGGAAGAGAACAGTAAAAGTGGGTCAGTGTCAAGGTATTTACCATGTCCATTTAAAAACAGCATCCGGAAAATACCACTTTGCATTTATACAATATTTTAAACTTTTGGTGCTTTCAAATTATCTGAAGTAGTTACCCAATCTATCTTATCCTCCTTTTATTTCCTTTATGGCATTGACTACTTAAGAGTTCATGTTTATTTACCAGTTAACTGCTTATTTAGTGCACAAGTCTCCCCACTACAGGGAATGTCTCAGGAAAGCAGGAAGCTTAAGCTGAGCAGTTCATGGTGGAGTCCAAATGCCTCAAAAAGATCTTAGCACACAGTGGTCACACAAGTGAGAAATGGACAGATTCACTCAACAAATGCTAAGAATTTTTTACAAAGAGAAATGTTAGAAACTGAACAGAACTAATGCTTCAATTCTAAAGCAAGCTTTCATTTATCTCTGGCAATTCACTTAAGCAACATTTAACCAAAGCGGGGGAGAAAATGGCATCTGGACTAGCATCACGTTAAAAAAACCATTTTGGGCATTTTTGACTGTTTACACTTTTCTATTTAGATATATGTATTTAGTAATACCAGGTAACCAGAATTTTATATTTGGATAGTGTAGTTCTCCAGTGAGGGCATAACACTGACTCTGATAATACTTTGTAAGAAACTGATACGCTAAGTGATTTAACAACTACAGTAAAACTGAAAATAGAACCAAGGGTTTTTAATTCTTGTACCAGTAATACAGTCTGTTCAGTCTTATTTTTAAGAGCAGACATTGCAAGGAAAATGCAATTGAAAACTTCAGTGTAGGAGGAGGAAGCTATAGACCAGGAAAAATAATCATAATCTCTACCCTCTTCTTTAACAAGTCTTTTTCACGTAAGTTATACTGTGTAAGGATTTTTGTGTCTACTGATGAATCTCAAGTGCCTAGAACAGTGTCTGGCACATCGGAAGTGCATACTATATCAATGATCAATAAAAAAAGTTTTGCTGTTGATTTGGGAGTACAATACTAGGATTATTTTAATACAGAGAATATGTTTCATGTTGAGAAAAAGTACATTGTTTCATGGCTCCAGGCACCATACATTCTCTGAAAAGAATTAAGGAGAAAAACAGTATCTGAGTGTGACACATGACAGTAATAACAAAAAGGCTGACAGAAACTATTAACCTACCCCTTGACAGAAAGCTACTTTGTACAAGGAACTGTTTTATTTGATGGTGGTAAAACTTAGCAACAATCTTAAATTTACTGACTTTTAAGTAATCCACCAAAATATAGAATTTTCATATTTCAAAGATCTCTAACACCAACCTTGTTGGGAATGTTGATGAACCACATTTAATTTTAAATAGCCTAGAACATTCTGCCATCCAGAATTTCAAGTGAATTTCAAGTCTTTTATAAATAGAATTTTTAAAATATGTTAAAGTCATGACTTATGCAGATTAAAGCTATGAAAAATCTGTCTGAAATACCACCTGAATTCCTATCCTCTCAGTTCCCATTTACATTCTAGAATCTACATAAAACATACCGCTCATATACATTTTCTTCCAAACCCACAAAACCTAGTCCTGGTCTGTTAACCTCTGAGCCACCAAGGCTAGGGTATTTTTCAGTTATAGCTACCCGTTTCTAAAACTATGATACAATTCTTACTGGATTATCTTTCAAGGCAATAGTAGGATATGATGACATAGGAATAAATTTTTTTTTTTAAGATTTTATTTATTTTGGGGCACCTGGGTGGCTCAGTTGGTTAAGCGACTGCCTTCGGCTCAGGTCATGGTCCTGGAGTCCCGGGATCGAGTCCCGCATCGGGCTCCCTGCTCGGCGGGGGGTCTGCTTCTCCCTCTGACCCTCTTCCCTCTCGTGCTCTCTCTCTATCATTCTCTCTCTCTCTCAAATAAATAAATAAAATCTTAAAAAAAAAGATTTTATTTATTTCTTTGAGAGAGAGAGAGAGAGTACGAGCAGGGGGAGCTGCAGGCAGAGGGAGAGGGAGAAGCAGGCTCCATGCTGAGCAGGGAGCCCGATGTGGGGCTGGATCCCAGGACCCTGGGATCATGACCTGAGCTGAAGGCAGGTTCTTAACCTGAGCCACCCATGTGCCCCAACCATACCCAAATTTCTATATGAATAAAATTTATCATGATCATCAGCCTAATACCAGCATTAGTCATAATTTACCTTATATCCCAAATGCAGAAAGCAGATATTAAATTCTTACATTTACCTCAAAATAATGAACAGATAAGACACTGGGTGGGTCAAAAGTGTCCATTCCAGGCTGAAAATGCTCACTTATATAGTTATAAATGTTTTTAAAGAAAATTATAGAATGAATGACTGAAAAAAGAATCAAGTTTGTAAGGGCCATCTTCAGCATATTAAATATAAGCAAATGATTTAAGACAGAAATCATATTAAAAATTGAAGGTGGGAGGACAAGCCTGGCATGGGAAATAAATCAAATCCTGGTACAGGGAGGAAGGAGGCTGTGAAGGTTGACATGCTTCCCCTCTCATTCTGAACTACACATACTCAGAAATACACAACATGGCAAATATATAAATAATCACATTTGTCAATGTTTACTGATCATAAATGTCAGATGGGTGGTTTATATCTTAAAATTCCTGTTTGAGCATATTTTAAGGGATGAAATATTTGCCAAGTGACCAAGGTAAAAAGACCTCCCTGAAATATGAGACCCCCCGAAACTATAAAAACAATTGTAAACCCACTTATTCCTCTGCTTTACAAAATAAGGAAAGTTGGCATTTAATTCAAATTAAATATTATCAATCACTTATTAATGAAATTACTTATTCAGCTTAAGCAGTGGCTTACTGGAAGTAGATGCTGCCTAGTAATCCAGCACTAGCACTCCTACAGGGTATTAGATACTCGGTCAAAATGACAAGAGCTGCACTATTTCACATTCTTTCAAATGTGAAAGCATTAATAGCTATAACAAGAATTTAATTAAAATAATCTATTTCTTAATAACATAAAATGAGGACACAATTTGGCATTTCCTTTCTTGCAAAAAGTCAGTACTTTAAAAAAAAATCTAATTCATGTGATAAAATGCAAAGAAATATTCTTTTCTAAACTACTCATTTGGTATCATTTGGTATCATTTTAACCTTGCAATACCTCCCCCAGTCTAATCATTTTAAGACTTGGACTTCGTTCTCTCATTGTGTGCAAGAAGGCTGTGTTTAAGAAATAGATTTTACCATATATAGTTTCCTTTTCTTAGCACTGTGGTTTGAACTGGCTCCCTTACTTGCCACTGAGTCATCAAATGGTAAGAACATGAACAGTATAATGTTCTTTCAAGCAAAAATGCAGAAAAAAATGCAACTACATTTGCTCTAAAAGTACCTTTCTCCCCCCCAAAAATAAACTGGGATTTATAAATTCCATTTGAGCTTATTTAATTTGTATTTTTCCTTTATTAATTTAATCTGATGGTATTGATATGCTCATTAATTTAATTACCTAGTGATTATTCTCATCTTAAGCCACAAAAGTATTTATTCTATTTCAAAGCATTTTGCAGAGTGAAGCCAAATTTGTTTTTGGTTTGTTCCTACTTCAAGGACTCCTAAATTCAACATATAAACTAGGATAAATCTGATAAAGCACGCTATAAGCAACAACAAAAGTGAGAATTATAAATGAAAGCATAATTATCCTAGCACTATAAGCTACTTTGTATCATTAGACCCTAAAAATTCTACCAGTCACACATTAAGCACAGGAGTCTTCCCTGTCAGTGAACTATCTTAATGCTGATGAGATCACCCAAGTTTGGTAGCAATACACACCAGGGGCCTGGACCCAACTCTTGAAAGACACCTAAACCTAAGCATATCTCCAGATTTTCATCTGTCTGGCCATTTTCAGTGGCTCTATTTAGATGGAAGTGCTATTTTAGGTTTGAATGGTTATGAAGATGAAATGCATAAATTATTGGAATCAGGTAAGTTTTCCTCCTCTAAGCCACCCTAAAGAGAGACCCTGGTCTATTTGGGAGCTAACGGGGAAGAGAGGCAGGACCAACATCTGGCATGCGATCATAAGAGTCACCCACTCGGAGCATTCCAATTAGGGCCTAGTTAAAAAAAATCAATTTCTCAAATAGCCTGTAAGTCTAAAACCTAAAATGTGTAAGAGGCCAGTTGCTTTAGGGTAACAACTATTTACACAAGTTTTTAGAAATTAAATTTGAACACCTTCTGTAATATTTAGTTGTAGATAATTCAGTATAGCTTCAGGTACCTAAACAAAATCAAGAGGACTATGAAGTATAAGAAGTAAGAAATAATTTCTGTATTTAGAATCTTCTAAATTTTCAGAAATATCACAGCATTCCTAGCTACATATTACATCAGAACTGTTTCTTCATTTGAAGCCAATCATGTCTATAGAAAATCTGGATAAAATTTTAAAGTAACTAGAAATGTAACACCAAATACATAAATTTTGTTCAAATTAAGTACATTTTTCCTTTACTGATCTCTTAAGATACAAGATTCTTAAATTATGGATTAGCCATAAGCCTAATCATTAACATATAATCAGCTTTCTAACTCAGGTAAACTGACGAAATAGTAACAAAAATGAACTCATGGCTAACAATCCTATTCTAATTGAATGGAAAAACTCATACACTATAAATACAGAGCTCGTTACCCTTCAAAGAGGAGGAATCTATTGAAATATAACTGGCTCTGATTTCTAAAGAGAGTATCAGACATATTTTTTAAAACAGTTTAAATTCCATTTTTAAAGTTTAAATTTATTTAGAGGTCAATTTGAGACTACAGGGGGAATTTTGTTTTGTTTTTTTTTTTAAGCACCTTTAACTGAGTTTTAGCTGTAAAAGTAATAAATGTTGGGCGCCTGGGTGGCTGTCATTAAGAGTCTGCCTTTGGCTTAGGTCATGATCCCAGGGTCCTAGGATGGAGCCCCGCATCAGGCTCCCTGCTCAGCAGGAAGCCTGCTTCTCCCTCTCCCTCTGCCCCTGCTTGTGTTCCCTCTCTCGCTGTGTCTCTCTCTGTCAAATAAATAAATAAAATCTTTTAAAAAAAGGTAAGAAATGTTTATAGTTAATTTGGTTTAAAGACAGTCTCACATGTTTTGTTAAAAAACAAAACAGAACACTTCCCAATAATTCAGAAAAGTCATGAAGTCTTTCCCATCTTCCCTCACTCTTATCCCCCAGGCTCACAAGTAACCGCTTCGAACATACCTCTCCCTCTGAAACTTTCATGTACAAGTCTGTGGACCCAGAACAGTCACATAAATGAGATCATTCTAAAACTTTTTTTTAACTTAACAATAAATTTTAGATATGTTTCCACAGTGGTGGATCTTTTTTTTTAAGTATCCCATTTTGTACGGATGTCCCATTATAACTCTTCTTACTATCGTGTTTTTAACTTAGTTCATATAAAACTAGTATAATTATTGCCTGTAAAAGTCTGTAGCACAGTAAGGGCAGTATTATGTCAGTAAATATCAGCTCCCTTTTTCCCCTCAACAATCCAGTTTCCAAAATGTTTTAAAGTTCAAGTAAAATCTTTTTTTTTTTTTTTCAGGTGTACAACATAGTGATTTGACAATTCTGTTATGCTATGCTCACCACCGGTGTAGCTACCATATAATGCTATTCAATACCACTGATTATATTTCCTATGCAGTCCTTGTCATCCCTGTGATTTATTCACTCCATAACTGGAAGCCTATTTTAATTTATACGTCACATTTATGGAAAAAGAAAAGTCACAAAATATTGCAACTCCAAAATGGTTAGTAATCATTGTAATGTAGGGGGAAATGATCACTACAGAACTCATCCCAAATAAGTAACATTTCTATCTTCTAATGTGCTACTCCAAATAAGTTATTCTTTAATGGGGGCGAGGGGAGGGAGGTTTGAAAGCAACAACTTTCAAATCAGTGTTTTAGCCAGATTTTTACAATCATTTGCCTTTTTGAATCTTAAAGACTAACATGATCTGTGTTCTGCATCTAAGGGGAAGAAATGGGGGAGGGGATACCAAAATTGGTTAACTTCCCCCAAGGTCCACAATTAACACTTGGGCCTTAAAGGGGTCCTAGATCTCCCAAGATCAATACAACATACTGTCTCTGCGGGGCTGCACGGAGGCCAAATTCCCAGCATGCAGAACAAAAAGTAAATGATGCTTTGCTCAACTGCCCCCCCTCCCCGCCCCAAAAACTGCGAAAGGGCTGCGGCTCGTTGCATGACAGCACTTCCCTTTTTTTTTTTTTTTTTTTTTTCTTTAAACCCGTTTCCTGCCTCCCTTTCGGTATCTTCAATTATACAGGAAGAGGAAGGCCTCTGGGTCTTTCTCCTTTCTACAGAACCAGTAACCCTGGGAAATGGAACCCTTAACGAACAAACCTACCCAGTCTTTCACCCCTCCAGCCCTTCAGCCCAATTGTTCCCATTGGGGCGCGGAGCCGGCCACCGTAGGGCAGCGGGCTGGATCCCCCTCCAGCGTCGGCCTTGCCCGCCGCCCTCACCCCGAGTTGCGGAGGTGGCAGGGTCGGGGAGACCAGGACTGGGCTCAGTCCGCTCACTCCCCACGCCCGCGAAGGCCGGAAGCGCTCTCCCGCGCCCCTCGGTCCCGGCGGCCCGAGGGCCCAGGGGTGCAACCTCGGGCGCCGAGGGCCCAAGCGCCACTAGCACATCCCCGCCCGGGCATGTGGCCACGGCTTCACCGCCCGGCGCTTACCCCGGTGCCGTTGTCGCACACCACCACCTTCCTGCCCTGGCTGTCCATCGTCCGCCCGGAAGAGAGCCGCCGCCGCCGCCGCCGCCGCCGAACGACCTACAGCCCCTGCTGCCGGGCCCTTTCCTCTTCCTCCTCCTTCTCCACGGCCCCTCCTTCGGCCCAACTTTTTTCCCCCAACCGGAAGTCGCAGCTAAGCCCCACCCGCCATTTAAGGTACAGTCTGCACGGAAGGGGTGGGGAAATGGGAGGGAGGAGGCCGAAACTGGCAGTAGTGATATCCAATAAGAGACGGAGAAGTGTCGAGGCCCCGCCCACAACTCCGGTTTCAGCTTCGGCTCCAGCTCAGCCGTAGGGGTCACCGCCCACCCGGGTTCTTCCCCATTGCTTCTAGCTTCCGGAGCTTCGCGGGGCCTTAATGGCGGCAGATCTAGTGGACGTTGCGGCCAAAGGCGCTGTAGGAGTTGAAGGGCCCGCTTACCCGTCTGCAAAAGGGACAGGGAGGTGAAGGACACCGAATCTGTGCGAGATGGCAGTGGAATGTGGCGAGAGGAGACAGCCTGGAGGGTGGAAAGCGGGGGAAACAAACCTCGACATCCACGCTGACCCCACTGTTGAACATAGCTTGGTGTGTCATTGCTTCCAGGCCTCTTCAGGGATCAGAGCTGGGATGGATACACACACATGAAGTCATGCGTTTATACCGATACCTCCAATTCCAGCCCAACTCTTTTTTGCCCAATTTGCCCTTAGTCAAGTGAGCGGGAGTGAGCGCCTACCTTTTCAGCCCCCTCGCTCACCACTTCCCTTCCAGCAGCACCATGTTGCTTCACACCTCTTCACTGTATGTACGTGTTTGAACCCAGAGTCTTGGCCTTGAAATCAGACAACCCTAGTTTCGAATATGGCCCTGCCACTCAAGAATTCTGTGATTTGGATTTATCCTTGCCTATGCATAAGAATACTAACCTCTAGTTCTATGGGTGGTTGTGAGGATAAAATTCTGTGCATAGAGTAAGTATCTATTCAGTGGTAGCTATTGATTATTATTTACATACATTTAAATGTATAATTCTCTCTACCTATAATGGCTCTCCTTTTTTTTTAATCAATCAAGAGACTTCTGCTCATGCTCTAAGACCCAGTTGTCACATCTATGAAGGCTTTGCAATAACCTTCAAGATGCTCTTTACTCTCTTTCTTCACTAATTAGTTTACCATGGATATATGAATAATATTATTGTGCTTATGACATTCGACAAATATTGGATGAGTGATATTAAAATTTATCTTGAAAAAATACCAACATTTTTGAGAGGTGAGAACTAGAATTGTGCCCTTCACATGGCTGTACGTGTGCAGTGACTAGAATAAAACTTGGATCATGAACCCCTCAGTCCAGTATTGTAAGACTAGGCTACCTCTCAGTTTTCATTTTGTTCTTTTATTAGACCAGTGGTTTTCAAACCTTTATAAAGGCATAGGTGGCTTTATTAGAATTTAATCTTTTTTAAAAAAATTATTAATTTATTTTAGAGAAAGAGTCCTGGAGCATGGGGGGCAGGCAGAGGGAGAGAGAGAATCCTTAAGCAGACTCTCTGCTGAGTGTGGAGCCTGATGCAGGCAGGGCTCAATCCCAGGACCCTAAGATCATGACCTGAGTCAAAATCAAGAGCCCACCATTTAACTGACTGAGCCACCCAGGTGTGCCCCTCAAATTTAATCTTATATGGAACCTCAACATATAAAATAGACTAAAGCTGCCATAGTAGTTGAAAGTTTGAGAAATTAGGATGGATAGGAGGCCTCAGGGAAATATGTCTTCTCTGCACCTGCTTCAGTAGTTGTTGAGGTACCTCAGTCTGCTGAACAGTGCATTAGTTCATAAACTGCACATCTTCCTTTTGTGGCCCCAGTGCCTGGCACTGTACAGTTTTCCTTGAAGTATATTTATTTGGTCTCAGCACACTGAACTCAAGCATTGCTGTGTCCTTTTATTTTTCCTCTCTATGAAATTAAGTTTCATACTTTCTTTTTTACTTTTTAAGAAATTACATTTTTTGTTTTTTTCCATTATAAAAACAGCATATGCAGATGATAGAAAATATCAACATCTATTCATTGTACTAATGAAAATGCAGCAAACCCTTGATTATGCAAATTCAGATGCAGTACTATTGGTGACAGGCTCCTGCCTTCTATACCAGGCAAGACCTGGTCATTTCACTTTCCTCAAAATAATCTGATCACACATTTTAGGCGATTATTTTGGGGGAGGAGGGTTGGGAGACTTCATTTCTATTCCTCTGTCATGGTTTTATGTATATTATTCCACATAAAAATCTTGTTATGTAGATATCCCCATTTTACACATGAGAAATGAGGGCTTTAAAAAAATTAAGTCTAGTAAGGTCATAGGATATGAGGTCTACATAACAGAAATCAATATATTGTTACATGTCATTAGTGAACAATCTGAAAATGAAAGAACATCAGAAAAATCCAAATAAATTTAATGCAAGACCTATATACTGAAAACTACAAAACACTGCTGAGAGAAATCAAAGAAGATCTAGATAAGTAAACATACCATGTTCATGGATTCAACACTCATTATTAAAATGACAGTTCTCTTCAAATTGATCTATAAATTCCAATGTAATCTCTATCAAAACCCCAGCAGGTTTTTTTCTTTTTAGAAATTGACAAGTTTGATCCTAAAAATTATATAGAAATGCAGAAGAGCCAGAATAGCCAAAATAATTTTGAAAAAGAAAAGCAAAATTGGCAGACTTCCACTGATTTCAAACCTTATTATAAAGCTACAGTAATGAAGACAGTATGATAATGTCATAAGGATGGACATATAGATCAACGGTACAGAATAGACAGCACAGAAATAAACTTATATTTATGGTCAATTGATTTTCAACAAATCTGGTAAAAAAAATTCAATGGGGAAAGGGTAATCTTTTTTTAAACAAATAGTACTTGGACAACTGGATATTCTTATATGTGGAGGGAAAAAAAGAACTTTGATCCTTACCTCACGCTAAACACAAAAATTAATTCAAATGGATCATAAATTTAAATTTAGAAGAGCTGGGGAGCCTGGCTGGCTCAGCTGGAAGAGCATGGAACACTTGATCTTGGGGTTGTGAGTTTGAGCCCCACATTAGGTGTAGAGATTACTTAAAAAATCTTTAGAAAATTAAAAGATAAAAATAAATAAATTTAGAAGAGCTAAAACCATAAATTCTGGAAAAAAAGACAAAAATCTTTTGATGTTGAGTTAAGCAAAGATTGCTTAGATATGACACCAAAATCATGATTCAAAAAAGAAAAAAATGATAAATTGGACTTAACAGGAATTTAAAACTTTCAATTCATGTATTAAGAAAACCAAAAGACAAAAGATTTTTGCAAATTACATATCCAACAAAGAACTTGTCTCCAGAATAAATTAAGAACACATAACAATAATAAGACAAATTACCTAATATTAAAGGGGGTGAAAAATTTGAATAGACATTTCACCCAAAAAGTTTTATGAATGGCTAATAAGCACATGGAAAGATACTCAACATCATTAATCATTAGGGAAATACAAATTAAAATCATAATGAGAGTGGTGGCCTGCAGGCAGCAAGGCCATGGGTGGCCTGGGGCTTGTGCTCCTCTGCTAGGCTGGCAATGCAGGGCCCCCTAGGCACTCCAGCTGGGACTGCCACGCAGGCTGCCCTCAAGGCTGGTGGGAACTGCAAGGCAAGAGGCTTGCACTCCTGCACAGTTTTGGCATTTTCTTGCGAGGGCTGCTACGTGCAGTGGCCTTCAGCATGTTGATGCTCAAACCAAAGAACCAAATCATGAAAGACGTCCCTTTTGAGGATATGGTTTTTAGACACTTCCAAACAAGTTATAGGAATGTTGTTCATCCACTTTGCAAATGTGTACCTAGCAGATGTCATCGAAGAGGTCCCTTGTTCACATCACCTTCCTCTTGGGACACAACTTTTGGCAAGTTGCTCATCTATGTGGGCGTACAGGCCATGAGCATCTTGGTCGAGTAGTAGCAGTGGGAGCCCCTGTGTTTGGATGAATGTGGAGACCTTCTGCAGTGTGTAGCCCAGGTCCAGCAGTGTGCTTTTACATCTTGGTCATGATTTTTGAAAAGTCTGTCACCTTCACTGTCCTCTTCATACTTCAGTGGAAAAAGGTGGCCCATTGAGCCATTGAAAACCCAGATCTGAAAGTAGCCATCGTCCTGCTGATCGCCCTCTTCTTTGTCAATGCTTTAATGTTTTGGATAGTGGACTACATTCCTAAATTCTTCAGCAGGTCCACTTGAAGAATAAATGCCATCTTTTACAAAACCACGGTATCATTATATCTAGGAAAAATAAGCAGTAATTCCATATCATCTAACATCCAGTCCATATTTGTATTTCCCCAGTTGTCCCTACCACGTTTATAGCTGTTTTTCTTCCTAAACCAAGATCCAATCAAGGTTCAGAGATTGTGTTTGTTGTTATGTCTCTCTCTTTTTTAAAAAAGATTTATTTAGTTAGTTAGTTGAGAGAGAGAGCACAAGTGGGAGGAGCAGAGGGAGAGAGAATCTCAAGCAGACCCCATGCTGAACATGGAGCCTTGGGTGGGCTCCCATGAGATCATGACCTAAGCAGAAACTAAGCATAGATGCTCAACTGACTGAGCCACCCCAGCACCCCTTGTTAATCTCTTTAATCTCTTAATCTAGAATAGTCATCCCACTTTTTTTTCATGGCATTAACTTTTTGAAGAGTTCAGATCATTTGGCTATAGAAATGTTCCATGTCCTGGATTTGTATGATTGCTTTCTTGTGGTTGGTTACATTTTTAAGTGATGTTTATGCATAATGTTGTTATGGCATTTGATGGTACTATAGACAGGATGTGTTACATGGACATCCTTTGCTTTTGATAATATAAAATTAACATTGAATTGATATCGGAACCAAGCAAAAATCTTGCAATACTATAAATAATGTTATTGCCTTGATTTAGATCTAGCCTAGAAAGAGTACAATTGTTATACACACATATGCACACACACAAAAGTAGGAATCTGTGATTTATGATTCCATAACTCTGTTGGGGAAGGAAATAAATATTATGAAAGTTAATAAACTAAATGCTTTACTATCCAAGTTCCTGACTTTATTTAT